GTGCTTTGCATACTTTCTTATGCAGTCCATGACACTCTTAAAGTCTTTCGATAGCGCCCGTCCCCTTCATAGATACTGATAATTTGTTTGCCATTATCCTCTGTGTAACGTAAGTGGCTGCATCTGTATATGCGGCTGTTGCCCGGGTACTGGTATTGTATGTCCAGCAGGTGTTAATATAGCAGAAAATGGTATTGGTATGTGCTGTGTCATGGGTATACATTGGTTCAGGTACATGCATTGATGTAGGCACAGAAATGGGTGTGGGCGCGGACGGGGGGTATCGGAAAAAAGTTCACGGGACTGGGGCTTTATTGTATCTACAAAAAAAATTGTCTTCGATCTCCACCAAGCAAAATGTACGTCTTCGTGTGGTGCCCAAATAAAACTAAGTAAGCTTTACATACTTTACAACACTGTTTGCATTCAGGGTCGGATTAAAATTTACTTTTGACAGCAGTGTCGGTTGTAATCGCTGTAGTTGCAGTTGTAGTTTATCTTCTGTAACTGGTAATGTGGTGTTCTCATGCACCTATTTGAATGAAGTGCGGTCATCGTTAAATTTGGGACAATAAGGTCGTAGAACCGGAGGACGCATCATATACGAGGCATTGCCTGCAGTTAGTATTTTCTTTACGCTTGCCAATGTCGTGGCCTGGCGCGTACTCCAACTTGCGCTGATAACTTTGTAAACGTTGTAATATCACCTCTATTAAAACCTCATCCGCAGTCCCAACGTCTTGCATATACCATTCATGGCACTTAGTTTCCTGCTTGATATCGAGCCGGATACAAGTTCCCCCAGATGCACAAAATCTCTTCTTATGGCACCAGTTTTCTATTTTCCATTTTATATAAGGTGAGATACCGATTAAAGCTAGTACCAAATCTGCATCAACACGAGAAACACCTTGAGAAACAAGTAGAGCGGGTTTCTGAGCAGTAAATTGAGTGGTATTCACCTCTGGAACTATACTGGTGCCTAATAGGTGCTCAAGTAGTGCCTGAACAAAAACATCGCCATTTGATGATCCTGTTTTATCAGAGTATTCGTGCTTTTTTCCTGTGGCCTTGGCAACGATTGTCTGTATTTGGCGGCGAAGTGAACTCGGATTCAAATTGTTGTAGAACGTAGTCTTCCTTGAAGACATACATGTAAGGCATAAAACAAGGCAAAAGTCGGTTTGTATGTGGAACGTCAATATCATTATCATCTTCGTTGAATTTATTTATGCTTTAATATTTTTTTGTGCGCTGCTTCGTCATCCCTCTCGATATTACACTTTGCACCGCTTCTCACATTAGCGGATGTGACAGTCGTATCTCGGATTGTCCGAGTGCCACTTTACTTGTTTTCATACAAACACACAAGCGCATTATCCAGTTTGACATGTATTTGGAATACAAACGAAAAGTGTGCATCTATTATAGCTAAACTCAACGCCTAATTCTACTCTGCTGGGCTTCAAAGGAGATCCAGCCCTCCTACCCAGCAAGGGAAGTGGATAGTGGGGTACCTCGTTTTAAATCTTTGCCTGTTAGCAGTTACTCTCGGTTGATCCACGCGGAATTTTTCGACGCTGGAGAATCCCATTCTGTTGTCGTTCAATATCGTAATGCGCAATTTTTTAGGTGTATTCGTGTCATATGCAATACCAAACCTTCAAGTGTGGATTGAACACTGGAGTTGTTCTGATCATGGTTATCCATGATCATATCAAGGTATTTGTTACCAATTTTTTTTCTTCGTCTCCACATTCCTTTCCACAATCGCTGCACCAACCAAGCATTGTGATAGAATCTTTTGCTTGAGATCTGAAATCACGAACAGACTCTCAGAGTCTAATGGATCTTGATGTCTTCGATATGTTTGTCAAGCCATGTGTTTTCTAAATCTTACAATTTCCGAGTCTATATTTTTAAGCCCAGGAAGTACAGATACGAGCTCTGCAATATTCATGTTAGCGAGCTGAACATTTTCTCCGATCTGTGGCACACACCGGCTCATCACACGTACTATACAACTATGGCATTTTAATATTTGCTGGTTCCGTGCTACTGGCCGCTAGTTTTGATGTTCATGCATCGACGAGTACCTTATGTACTTTCTTTTTCAATGTCACACGCACAGACGCTTCTATCGCAGGGATCATCCTTATGATGTTCGTACAATCTTTACACTGAACTCCATGCACTTAATAGTACACTTGTTTCCACCTGAATTATCCTGCATGTTGTGAGATATATCACCATCACAAACACTATCCTTAGTATTGCAATTCTTTCTACAGTCGCCTTATGTTAGCATTTAGTCTCGTTTGTAAATGCGTCATATGGCTTGGCGAATGTTCCCATGAAATCGGTCTGTCAAATGCAAGTAGTGCAATATTTCGATAGCCCGTGTAGAATATAGAGAGTAGCTGGAATGGTACGACCAAACAATAGACCACTTCTCAAGTACGATTATCTCAGTCAAGAAAATTCTTCAATTTTAGAGAACTGAACCGAGTCTTTATTTGAGTTTTCCAATTCACCAGACTCAGGTTTCTACTCGAGTGTCTATCTCACACGCTGGGTCCCGGTTTAGTTTACCGGTTCTACCGCTAATATTCGTAATATAAGAGTCATCAGAGATACTAGCGGCAGAACCAAAGAGCCAAACCGGGACCCCGCGTGTGCCTGCAATTTCATTTTTCTCGTTAGTAACTCAAGCATCCTGAAAAAATGCGCATGTCCAATCTGTATGTACCCTTCGTTTACCTGCAATGTTGTGTCGTCTGTTCGAAGGGATGTAATAGGATTTGGCGTTGCAGGTGTAGCAGTGGATCCAACGACCGGCCTTGGCCACTGCTGGGTGTAGTTCCCAATTGTGAAAGTGATGTATCTGCTTTTGTAGTGCTTGTTGTATTGTACCCAAATCATTGTTTCACTAAACTTATTTGGCATCTATATCAGGCGCGCTTTACCAACTGAGGTTGACGCAAACGCCACGCAACATAGCCACAAGTTATATCGGACCCATTTAATGCATACCTATAGATAACTATTCAATAACACCTGTGTAATCGTGATACTAGAGATGTGAATATGCGATCAAATAAAAATCAGAACTATTAAGGCAGTAGTGTAAAGGTTGATTCAGACTTCTCTTTGACTTTAGGAGTACGTTAACTTCTATAGTATCTCACGTACAAACCACAAGAATGTATTAGTATGTGTCTGAGGTCGTACACAAAATGGGACAAAGTACACTTTTCGTAGTTCCGAGTTTTACAACATATTAGCAAATACACAGCAGAAATGTCAAATTGTCTTTTAATGAACTAGGCCATTGGTCAATCTACGGTACAAGACGTGTCACAAGCACAGTAGCCCGTCACTCCTACACATCCGCGTAGAATTTTCATATGCATCTATAGAGCCCACTTTATCTACAATATCGTCTTCAGTATACCGCCGTCGCCTTTGCAGTGTCAACACTACCTGCACCCCAAAGTATTCCACTCTAGCCTTCATCATCATCGCCTCCCGCGGCATTCTGACCATTACCACCAGCTCCCCAATGTATCTCTTATACCTAAAAACCCTACAATGTCCTGGCTTCGTCGCAAACTGCTGTCATTTCTGATCCACTACATTCTGAAGATTTTGGCTACGACCATTATCTTGGAGCCTTTTATGTCGAGCCAATCCCAATCACAACACCTACCTGGTTTCTTCGATACTGCCACAGCTCTTACGGCCAGTACCCATTTACCTGAAAAACCAGTACAAGTCTTGCAAATGCCAACCTCCTGATCGACATATTCACCGGTTAATCGATATCCAGCATCATCTTCTACAACAACAGATCATTGTTCTCACTCCCGAGATTCAAGTCTGTTCGCTCTAAGTAGATGACACAGTACCTAAAAACATAGCTAGTGCCTGCAAATTCAGGTTTCGAATCCAACTGTCCGTGACAACTTGCTACTACGCAATATTGGACGAGAGTATCTCAGTATGGCTGTCAGGAAGAATCATGCAAAGGCCATATGAAGCAGACAAACGATAGCGCTTTCAAATAGGGATCACGACAGGACCAAATGATCAAGCGCACATCATTTATTCACAGCGGCAATTGTCATATTCTACTTGGGTGTGATCTACATAGCTCAGCTGATTTGGTTGAGTGAGAGAACCACAGGCATCTCACTCAACAAAAGCCGAAAATTCTGAATGAAGTCATCTCTACACTCCCTCTAAGATGAAAGTACCCAGACTGCGGTGCATGGCGTTGGCAGCTGTCTACACACTCACTCAATCACTTCCGATCCCCTCGTCGGCTCGTACCCGCCGCGGCATCGGTTGGTACAACATTTGCGTTGTGATTGTAAACGCCACACAGCTTGCGCAGCACTGGCGTCAGCTCAACGTTGGTGAGACATCGCGCAAACACACGTTGCAGTGTGTGGCGAGCATCAGCAGGCGTGTAGGACAGCAGCGTAGGGAGACCTTCCATCACCTGCGCACACACCTCAACGCTGTAGGGAGGCTCGAGGCTCTCCAGAAAGGTGGCGATGAATCTACGGAGAAAACAGAAGTGTGTTCAGAAAAGGGTTTGCGACCTGTTGTCAATACGCTGATTTTGTGATGTCAGCCTTGCACTGTGTGTGTTGTTGAGTACTTATGTTGAAGGTTGTAGCTAGACTCCATCACATGAGATGCAATGGCGAGCGGAAGCCTGCGCGCTAAATATGTGTGTGGGCTATAAGGTTCGATGCTATGAACGGTTAAGACGAAACCTCAATTCTCACAAGCCAGTACAAGCAAGGATTTAGGTAAAACCCTAAAACCCTAATATAATGGCGCAGAGTTTGAGTATGGACGGCTAACCAGTCCAATAGTAAGTTGTACATCCTTAATGAACAACGGGCAATGAGTGGGGACGAACCATGCACAACCAACTGAGAGGCACACACACAGACACAAGCAGAACACTCTGAGGCAGAACGACATGACACACACTACGAATCACGCCCGCACCTAATCAGAATACACACAGAAGAAATCTAAATAACAAGTGGGATGCTCACATACAGACACAATATACATAAAGGTGTGATGCTCACACACAGTCTCAATACACACAGAAGAAATCTAAATAACAATTGGGATGCTCACATACAGACACAATATACATAAGTGTGATGCTCACACAAAGTCATAATACACACAGAAGGAATCTAAATAAGCTCACACCCAGTCAGCATGTACCGTTTCGCTGTTTGGGGTCGTTGGCGGGCGCACATGTCTATTAGAGCCAGTGCAGACTGCCGCACTTCGCAGTTGTTGTCCAAGGCAAAGGGAGTGATCTCATCAATCAGCAGATGCACCACACCCAACCCCTTTGCTGATATCATCTCTAGGTCTAGCAAAGTAGCCAAGCGACCTGGATAATAGTAGGCATCGAATCAGGTTAATTGTGATCGGTGTTCTAATGTATGCATATGTATATATATTTATACACACACACAAATACACACACATTCACACACAC